CCTTTTAAAGGGTAATAATCCCACTCAAATCGAATAAGGTGTCGTATAAATATTCAAAAACCTATACGAACAGGTGCGCATTAACCTCTGTATGCGAAAAGAGTATGCCGGTATGATACTACATGTATATCGCCGGTACGACTGCACTTAGTACGATACAGGCGCTACCCCTAACCACTTCAAACAAGTATTAATAAGTGTCTATTATTATAATTATGCGGTGCTATTAATACAGTCCCCCTAAATAAGCGTCACTTGCGTCTCATATACCCCTTCATACCAGATCACATTGATTGACCTATGCAAATTTATCAGACGACCCCTACGCTTATTGAGAGACTACACTCCTGGTCAAAATTATACGAATCGGATGTGTGCTACCCGATAGAATGCGTAAATATGAGCCTTCTGTAGTACTCGAAGACGTCACTGGCCAACAGATTGTCCACTGAGCCCTGTGCCGGAACCTTTGGCTCCTACTTTTTGTATTCCTTCTCCTTAGCTAACCTGACGTAAGCTAATAGAGGTTCGTTCTTCGTTTTCGTCCTTCCTTCTCTGTCCCTGAACAGATAGTCTCCTAGTCAGATCACCCACGTCCTCGCCGAAGCACCGTGACGTCCCGATGCGATCCAGATCACGCTCAATCTCAAAGCCACTTGGGCGTACGCCCACGGCGCCTACCCTACTCGTGCGCGGCCACCACAGCGAACTCGGGTACTCTACTTCCCCTGTCTGGTCTCACCGTACGTCGCTCCGCTTGTCCGTACGTTCTCCTCCTTGGATCCTACTTGTTCTCCGTTTCACGGTACTGCAGTGCGTCCACCACAACCCCGTACGTTCTGTCAGCCACACGTTGTGCCTCAACAGCCCTTTCGTTCGTCTTTGTCTTGTCGCTGACTGTACTTCCAGCCCTCAACCGTCTTTCGTCTCTCGTCTCACTCTTCGACCTACTTGTCTCGTCCTTTGCAAATTCGGAAGTACTCACGTCCTTGCTCTTCCTGCCGTCTAACGCCACCGGTCGCGACGGCTCGCCGTCTGCGATCTCCGTCCTAACCGTGTGTCCGTTGAATCCGTTGGACTCCTTCCGCCCTTTGGTCGCACCCTTTGCACGTTGAAGCTGGCTACGTGCCAACGTACACTCTTCCGAAAGATCTTCGGTAGACCACGTCATCAACTTTTTACACGCCTTCTTCACTCGTAGAGTCTTCCACGACTCTACCGTCCTGAAAGTATTTGTCGTACTCTATGATCGACACCCATCGGGTACTTTCGCCAGTTGTCTCTCGACACTCTCGTCCAACCGGTCGAAGTTCGAGCTCAAGTACATATTGTCCTGCTTTGTTTCGTCTACGTCGTCGTCGTATTTCCACCAACTTGCCACCCGACTCTCCCCACACATCCGTTCCTGCCACTGTTGTTCGACTTCGTTTTGAGCCTGCCGGAGCTGAGGCTGCTCGCACTGGAGCCGTCGTTGCTCTCGCAAACGTGCCTGCCGGCGTGTCATCAGCGTGTTGCTCTTCATATTCCAACTGTGCTTGTAAATCAGCTGCTGCTCGCTGTAGTAACTCGACTTTTGAATGATAAGTAGTGAGGAAACTTACATGGGCTATAAATTCCTCCGGTTCCTCGTTCTGATCTTCACGTCGCACAACATAATTGTCGTAGCCTGCTGGCTCGATAATTCGGAGAGGTCCAATCCACACATGAACTAACTTTGTAGCTTTCGTCCCACGAGGTGGTCGATACATCCAGACTCTGTCACCTGTCGAGAACACCCTCGTCATTCTGGCACGTCGGTTGTAGTACCGAGCTTGCCGCGCTTGCTCCTTCTGGCGAACTTGCTCTGCACACTCATGACTGATCTTCATCGCGTTCAACAGACGTGCATGGTACTCGGACAACTTTCCTGCTTCAGTCACATTGGCGCATCGTAGTAACTCGTTGGGTGCTCGTAATCTACGCCCCATCATCAGTTCATTTGGTGACAGTGCAACTGTCGAATGCTTGCCTGAATTGTACGCATATACTGCAAAGTCTAGCCAGGTGTCCCAGTCATTCTGGTCTTCACTATGCATGTAGGTCGCGATGCAGTCTTTCCAAGTCCTATGAAATCTCTCCACAAGACCAATCATCTGAGGGCGAAAAGGAACTGGATTAATCTGCTGCGCCTGAAGCATCGTAATCAACTTCTCGATCACAATACCGGTTAGTTCGGGAGCGCCATCAGTGAGTAGCTCGCGGAATACACCAAACCGTAGTACTATGTC